TAGGATCTAGACACGGAAGCTTTGCAGGCCAATCTCATTACTCTGAATCCCCGTGACGTTACCAAAAATTAGGAAAAGAAATGGTTCTGGGGGTGAATGGTATTCAAAGCACCGCAGGCTCTTTCCAGATCTGATGCATCTTGTTATACAGAGCTTAGCAGCCCTGCATTACCTTGGACCAGACCTAGTTGCACGCCTTTGGACCCTTAGCTGCCATCAGAGAGAAAATGGATAAGTGGGAAGTATAAAAACACAGGGTTGTTTTTAAAGCTCATTTTACAAAATAAACCCCATTCCCCACAAAACCCATTTTCCACTGTATTGTGTGTTTACAGAGCATTTTCAGGTAAGCTTACATTGTAAAACCTCAGCTCTCCGAGAGAGACATGCCGAATACCCAGGCACACACTCTAAGAAGCACCAGGGGTTAACTGAAAAAGGCAAATAATTTTATAGCACAGAGAGACATCAGTACCGCAAAACCTGAACAGCATATCTAATAGGGACTTTTTGTATTTCATTCAGACTTTTCAGATATTGTGCATTATGGTTTTCTTCCTTCCCTTGATATCTGCCCTAAATAAAAAGTGTTAGGCTGAGCCCTCAACTTTCTACCTTGGTCATTTTCAATGTGACTTCACTTTTCCCTCTTCTCCTTCCAGGGAAATCATCATAGAAATGTTGAGAGAGGCTGTGTTTACCTCCTCCTGGAGTCTGGGGGTCCTACAGTAAAAGATGCTTTAGACGTGTTTGGGCTGGGGATTCAATACCGATTAAAAACAATATCTGCTTAACCGGTTATAATTGCAATGGTTAAATGATTAGTCGGTATGGCAACCCCCGGCCTGGCCCACGTGGGGCTGCTCTGCCCTGGTCTGCTGGGTGCCCCTGCCCGACCCAGCACTAGCGGGGCACTTCCAGCCCCCCGAGGTGCAGTGGGGTGCCCCGGCAGCAACCGGAAGGCGACAGGGCAGGAGGTAGGGAGGAAGGACCGAGGAGAAGGGGAGAGGGGACTAGTACCTAATGCTCTGTGGACCCCGATGCAGCCGCTTGCAGCCTCCCTGGTACCTGCCATGAGCAGCCCAGGCTACGTGGAGGTCACAGGGGCCTGCTCAGGGTCCGTAGAGCCTAGCTTTTAGGTACTAGTGGATAAATTTCAAGTTTTAAATACCCTCTCTCCTTCTCCCCTCCCCATCTCCTTGCTCCCCGCCCTTTCTGCCATTCCTGCCCCATCCCAGTTCCTGCTGGTTTCCCTTCCCCGACTTCCCTACTGCACCGTGCCCCGCCTCATGCTAAATGATAACCAGTAAGCTATAACTGGTTATCACTGGGCTTATCGGTTAAATGATTAATCATCTAACCATTCACATCCCTAGTTTGGGCCTCGTTCTTTGTAGGTGCTGAACAACCGTTGTTTCAACAGAAATTGGATGTCAACTGAGAGTCACCTCAGAAATTCCTAAAAAAATCCTGTAGGTTTCTCTCAGATTGGTTGTGTGTTTTTCCTGTCAAAAAATGTGCTATTTTTTCAAAAGCAAAAATTTCCAAGAAAAGTAGCCATGAGCTATTTTTTTGTTCCAATTTTGGGTTGTAAATTTTCCATGAAGTTTTCATTGAACTTGTTTTGGAAGTTGTTGAACATTTATCTGTTTCCCACACTGGCTGTAACCTACCCACAGACAGGATTTCGGTAAGTGAAAGAAAAATAGCAAGAATAACAGTGGTAAAAATATTGGCAGAAAATATCAAAGAAGAGTTTGCAACATCATTCATTTCTAACCCAGGTAAATGGAGATGCCTTCCAAATGCTGAAAGCTATCAGGTCATTATTTTCAACACATGTGAGTAATGGGATCATCTTGAAAATGTCTAGGTTTTCAGTGCCCACTGAATTTGGGGCAACGTGGGATCATAGAGATGAGTTTCCTCAGGCTGTGGGCTCACTGTCCCACCATACTGAGATAGGCCACACTCACTCTGTGCGTGTGGCTTCTTGAACAAGAAATAGTGCAGCACTGTGGACGTGCCCATAAGCTCTCCCCTCGCAATATAGCAGCTCGGCAACTCTCAGGTCCTCTGTGACCCATAAAGCTCTGCCTTGCCTACATGAAGGAAGCTAAGACTTACACCTGCTCATTACCGGACAAGAGAAATCCCTCCCTAAGTATGGGCAGCATGAAAATTAGTTGTGTAAACCTGAATGGCTGATTAAATGTTCTGGCCTCATACTAATTGTATTCTGTGCTTGAGGACTTCTCCATAACATTGCTACACAGTGGGTGCATCTACACGTGCATGCTTACTGCACAGTAATTTAGGTTACTGTGCAGTAACTTAAAATTACTGTACAGTAGGGGCTCATGCTCACACTATGGCGACCTATGCCGACTTGAGCATAAATTTGCTACCTGCATGATATAGGTAGCAAATTTATGCCCAAGTAGTTACTGCGCAGTAACACATGTAGATGCATTACTGTGCAATAACACTGTGTGTATGGACTGATTTGGGACTAACTTTACTCCCCTAACTTTAGTCCACTCATAGTGTTATTGTGCTGTAATGCCCGCGTGTGTAGACACCAATTTAAAAGCCACTAATTGCACAGTAGATTACTGTGCAGTAAATGCACATGTAGACCCACCCAGTGTCTTGGACACAACTTTGAATTCATTCTAGTCATTTTTGTAAGGTAACTTCCCTGTGAATGTCACACCATCTTGGGCTTTATATTTTACAGTATCACCCAATTTTTCTGTGTTTTTTCTCCCTTTGCTTCCAATGTCTCTTGGTTTCATCACAGTCATAGGCCACTTGATGTGCTGAATTTACACAGTCACTGATGGCCCACCATGACTTCCTTGTTAAATAGGATTATGAGGCACTTAAATGTACTTAATTATTTTTGTGACTGATAAAAATAGAACCTGGTTTGAGGGGCTTCCAGGTATTTATGCCTGTGAAGACCTACAAGGTGTGATTGTGTTGCATGCAGTGTCTTAGCAGATAAATAAACACGTTACAAGGCTCTGGCAAAAAGGTATTTGTCTAGGATTATATTATTGAAATGATAGGATTATAATATGGATTGCAAGAAGTGATGGGAGGTGACAGCAGGGAGCAACTGATGGAACGCACCGAGAGAAAAATCCTCGTGCCTTAACAGATGAATACGGTCGTGTCATCCCATCAGATGGCTCTTCAAGTCCTAGCAGATAGAGGTGTTAAACTGTGTTTGTCGGAAGTCAGGTGGAGCAGGCTGGTTCAGAGACGTGAGCTTTCGTCGGCACCAACCTACACCGTCAGAGACCTTTGCAGGGGTGCTCTCAGTCTCTCGCAGAATCAAAGCTCGACTGCAGAGCATCTGTTTGCTGGCCTCGGCCCTTACTTGCTTTCATAGTCGCTTTCCAAGCAAATTGATATCCTGCCTCATTTGCCATTTTCAATGCTGGTTCATATTCATACCCTGCTCTCCTCTGTCCTACGTATGGGGAGAGCACAGAGATGGGGGAAGAAAGCATTTTTATTAAGACCCTGAAGTGCTTACATGAAGCTGGCATTGTTTGACTTGTTCAAGTCCGTGGGTGCTATAGCCATGTATCACAGGCTGGGAAGGGCCTTTGGGTAAGACTATCTTTTTGTTCTCTGTTTGGTCCAAAATAATAGGTCATTATCTATGACTGTTGCTCCCAGACATCATTAATGAAATAATAATTTGTTATGATGATGGTGTTTTGTTAGCCTCAATTTGCACATGACTACACAGGAGAGAATCAGGCCTATCGGGGGTGTATTTATATTCAGGGCTCTTTCAGGCTGCGTGAAATGTATGCCTTCACCTGGAAGATGTCAAAACTAGACATGCTGTTGTCATGCATTTCCTGTATAGGCCATTACACAAATGATGGTATTTAAAAAGCAGCTGTGCTCTGGAGCTCTGCTTCAAGGACTTGTTGGATCAGTTATTATTAAAAATGAAGAACAATAGTTCTGTGTAATAGACTTGTGCTGTGAAAGCAAGTTGCCCCACTTAATGTATTCATAAAAAGCTCCAGTTGTGGATTTCTCTTTTATACAGGTCAAGCGGGGGCAATCACTGCTGAATCAATGTATCTAACTCCTTCAATGTCCACATTTGCAAA